TTCACATGCTAAGTTTTCATAAAAGAAGTTCCTGCTTCATTATGCAACATATTGTTTGTGTTCTTGTAGCATCCCCCAGAATGGCTTAGTCAAAATAAAATTTAAATTATCAAAACATCTAATATTTCTTTTCTTTCAAAAAACAAAGCCCAACACTAGTTATTGAAATACATAAAAATCTGACAGTGATATAAAAGTAGCAGTGCCATGTATTGCATAGAGACTATTTAAAATGCAGCTGAAGTAAAGACATATCATATACAGGATATTTAAAATCTTGCACTAATGGTTCTGGGAGCACAAACACTTCTTTCAGTGCCATTAGGTCTTATTTTAAAATGAATCAACCTAAAATATAACCTGTTGAGCTATCAGTTATGGCCACTACATTCGATCATACAAACATTTTGAGCAGTCTGAAAATGCACATCTTTACTTGATATACTGATTATGATTTATGATTACCTGGGAATCTATTACACTGTAGTTTCTAAACGAGAGACTAGAAAATTTCCAACACATTTTTACTATGGAAATGCAAAGGTCTGTGAGGGCCTAGGTTAAAGCTGTAGTCTGGGTGTAACAACTGCTCAAGAATTTAAGAAGTCTTAGGTAGAAAGTAAAATTTAAACTATTAGAAGTCTAAACCTCCCTGTGAGAACTTACATTCTCACAGTGGCTGCAACATCACACAAACAAAACGTTCTGTTCATCCTATACTACAGAAAAAAAATGTCAATTCAGTAAATTCAAAGATTGGTTTCTCAGCTAACTTGTGATGGAATAGTCTGCTAGATTCAAAACAAATCTCAAGACTTCCACAGTTTGAGAACAGGGTCCAGCAATCTAATTGATTGGAGAAGGGGGTAGCAATAATTTTAAATAGCAAGGCTATTTAATTGTAGGCAATTAGAGCATATTTAGCCATTCAAAATGCTTTCTACTAGTGCTGGATGTAATAAAAAAGAAAAAAAGCTTTAAAGAAGGGATAAAAATTCTAAAGATTATGTTTGCTCTCGAGGAAAAAGATGGGACTTTTGCTCTTTACTGAAGTAGATTGTGCAGAGAGAGGCAGCTTGAAAAGTTTCATCTTCTAAAGGAAGAGGAATTCATCTGCCATTATAGGGTGGGATTACTTCTGCTCTTGAAACCTGTGATCCTCACAGCTAAGCAGAAATGTGTGAGCTGCTTCTTTGCTTGCAGTGCTGCTATCCTTTTCTCTGAATGCCTTTACTTCTCTACTTGCAATGTTAGTTGTTGTAGATGCAGCTTTGGTTTTTAAAGATAAAACTCTTCCTCCTCTTCAATCTCACTCAATGTGCTGTGCTCCTTATCCAAAAGAGGCAGATCATTTTAATTCAAAGCATTATTTTTGTATAACATATCACTCTGGCTTACATTTTCCATGCCAAACTCTAACTATCAATGACTTTTTAACAAGGAGGATTGTTCAGCCAACTTCTGAGATTATTACTCACAGAACTGTGGGACAAAGCAGTGTAGATTTGCCCAGTTTATCAAACAGGCCACCAGCTTTTATTATTTCAGGGAGAATCAAATTGGAAGTTGCTTCTTGAACTAATCAGGGCTGATTTGCTCTAAAGTTGCTTCCTGACTTAGATCTCAGGCAAGGAAGTGCTGTAATCAGTTCCCAAGGGCCGTCAGAGTTGTGATGGGATATTAAAGGAATGGTATGATACCTTTAAAATGTTCCCTAATCTTGGCAGATTTTTGTATTTAACACAGTTAAACCTGAGCTTGTTGTATAGAAACAAAGATTAATTTCATGAGGTAATTTTATATAAGAACATAAGAGTCGAATGTACTTGAGGCAGCAGAAATGAATTTTGGAGAGAATATATTCCAGTCTCCTCCAGGGTTTGTACATTCAGCTGAAAATACAAACTGGCAGAATTGTTCAAAATCAAACATTTACTACCCATCAATCCCCCCCGCCTCTCCCCAAAAAAAAAAAAAAAAAAAAAACCAAAAAACCCCCCCAAAAAAAAAAAAAAAAAAAGAAAAAAAAACCACCAAACTTCATGAAAGAAAAAATGAGTCCCCCTGAGTGTCTCTGTTTGCATATTAGCCCATAGCATGGGCTCTGCCAAGTTACTCTGACTGACTGCTGCAGATGCTCTTTCTCAAGTATTCTGAGTGAGATCTTTAGTGCAAGTCTTTGGGGACAAACAATAGCACCTGTTCCTCACAAGATAGCAGCCCAGTTAGTCCATTCATGTATCTTTAATGAAGCTCTGGGGCAGATGGCAAAAAATGGCATCATCAACGACTTAGCACAGAGGAGACAAAAGGGGAAAGTGCCGCTCCAACAATGCGCTATTTTTACGAATGGGAAGAGACAGAGTCAGAGCGTTTCTTGGGCATCTGCTCCCGTCTTGGTTTTCAGAAAGACCTGAGGAACATCTCAGCAATTAAAATTTCTGGGCATGTAGCCGATTTTATGAAGTACACCAATCAACCCCTCCTCCTAATTTCTCCCCTCACCAAGTAAAATCAAACCGATCATCTTTATAATAATAAAACTCTCAGGAACAGAAACTGTCAAAAATTAAGGAGTTAACTGGATTTTCTGTGATCAGTGATACTTTTATATTATCTTCCTTTTCAGCGCTTATTTGTGCTTTTCAGTTGACCTGTGCTGAAAATGAACACCTATGTATATAATAATTCTCTGTGAAACCAACACTGACATAGGAATAGCATTTCATATGTGTCAGAGGGAAGACCCATGGGAGGGAATGATGGCCTTTCAGTATGAAAGTTTTTCAGTCTGTTTAAGTCTCTTAATTGTAAGTCCAAACTTACAGCCTAAATGTAACCTACAGTCAAATTATGCTGATTTATATAGACTGAAGACCTGCTCCTGAATTCAGAGTAGGAAGAATAGCAGCTAGAACTTGAAATGGTAATTCCCCACACTTACAGAAGTGCTTTTATTTGAGAATTTAAACAAAATCTATACAATTGAGTTGATCAAAATCTACAGGAATGCATTGTAGGATTTGGTTATGATATGTTTCAAATTATCTTTATGACACAATGGAGTGAAATATTGCAGTGGGTGTGTTTGCACCTTCACTCAAACCACAGCACTCTGATCTCTTCTGTGTCTTGTTAGACTGTGTTGGAGTCTTGTACCTCTGCTGCTCCATGTAAATACTTTATGTGGGGGATATTTCTTATGATTTTGGCTCCATTTGATTAGATGCAATTTAGAAACTACTACAAATTTTTGTAAGTTGTATTGCATTGAATTTCTTCCTGTACAGTTGCTTCTATCAAACAAAGCCTGTTGTTTTTTTCCTTTGCTGTGCTCCTTTAGAGAGGATGTATAGAAACACCAGACAGCAAAACCAGCACCATTTTATCAGAGCTGAGTGCCTGTTTTGGGCACATGGGGATCAACTCCAATCTGACCAAGTTTAATGCATAACCTAAAACACACAGCCAGGCTTACCTCAGCTAAAATGAGAGAAATAGCTGCGTAAAGCTAGTTTCTTTCACGCCCCAGTGCCATAGCAGTAATTGCACAAAGACCTTTTTTATTATAAGTTGATTTTCCTGAGGAATGGATTCAAAAAATACTGTAAAGTGTTTATTTTTTGCTTGACCTTTATTAACCTCCATCTTAGGGCTTTCCCAAGAGAAGAGTTGTTGGTAAATTAACCCTCATAGAGACACACAGTAGCATTTCTGCACTGCATCAATGGTTGTGAAAGTAATGGGGATATGACAAGAAAATTTGGCACTATTTAAGCAATGTCACAGGTCAACATATGGGATTTGACCAAAAAAGTTTTTTAGGAATTAAATGCAAAAAATTGCTTGAAGTGTACTTTAAGTTTTTAATAGTGTTTAATTCCACCGATTTACGGTACGATGAGGGAATTTTTTTTTCTGTCTAAACCCCCATGATTTCCTACATTTACCAGCTTTGATATATAAAGCATTATATGTTTGCTTAAGTGCTAATCAGAGAAATTATAGTCAAACCCTCGGGTATGTCTGGGGTTAAGAAATGATGGATAAAAATTCTTTGAGATCCTAGCCACTGTCTCTGAAACACAGATACTGTAAATTAAGGAACTAGGAAATTACCTTATGGATTTAACAGGCATCATCTTATCACATAATTCTCTATATATTGAATACAAATGCTAGTATAAGGAGAAGAATCTTTTCCTTTGTGCATGTTTGTGGTTTTTCGATACATTTATTACGGTCAAATTAAATTTGATATAGTAGGTTTTGTTCTGAAATGGTCTCTGAATGCAGCTCCATAATTACCAAGCTACATGATAGCACATAAAGCTGTAAAACTGCTTAGACAGACAAGCAATTTATTTCTTATAGTGAGATGTGTGTGGCAGAGTATGTTAGTTTGTTTAGGATCCAAGATGTTGGAGCCTTAAATCTTAAGAGTTGTGGTGTTGACTAGAAGGCTCTTTAGTACTCTGGTGAGATTTTGAAATAACATACCTGAGTTGATGGTATTTATGTGAACCATGTTGTAAGATCTCAGAATTAAAATTTTCCTAAGGTTGCTAAAATCTGAACATCAAAGTAGATACTGCAGTGTTAGTTTGCTTCTAAATGCTCATCACTGTGTGACCAAAGATGAGAAAACCTGTGAAAAACTAATAGAAATACATATCACACTACTTTTAATAAAAACTTTGTTTTCTACCTTTTTACCTCGTGCCAGGCCAGGGAATACTAATTAAAAAAACCCAAATCAATGTAATAGAGAACCAGGAAGGAGTAGGGAAATGTGCAGCTCACCGAGACTGTTACACCTTTGACACTGAGGGAAAACAATGTTTGTGAGGGCTTTGATGTGATAATGTGAAGTTGGCAGGGATTGCATTAGGGTGAAGGTTCTGGGGGACTGTGTGAACGCAGGAACACTATCAGTGCTGGAGAAATACCTGTCAAGACAAATTTGTGCTATTTCTGATCAGAGGCTCTCTTCTGTTTAGCAGGTTCAGGGTCACATGCCTCCGCTCATGATCCCAATTTTTCCACACGACCAGCGGACACTGGCAGCGGCTGCGGCAGCCCAGCAGGGATTCCTCTTCCCCCCAGGAATAACATACAAGCCAGGTAAGCTCACAGGGATGCAAGGCTTTGCACATTTTAAGACATGAACGGTAGCCTCTTGTGTGATCTGTCGCATACGGATGATACACAACAGGCATAGCTGGTTGGAAATTATGTGGAGCTTTTGCAACTCCACTTGAAAAAATACTTCTGGATTGAAGGAGGTGGGTAGACTATTGGTTATTAAACATCATGATTTTTTTAAACTTAATTTCCACAAAGTCATTTATTTTAAATGTAGTAGCCCGCTTGCCTAGCAATTTGCATCTGGTCTGCCCAATACAACCTACATGTCTTTAATTAATTCTGTTATCTTCAGAATATTTGTGTTTCGTAGCAAAATTTTTACTCTTTTGTTTGATTTCAATTTGGTTAATAAAAGGTTTCAGTAGTTCAGTTCCAGTAATCATTCAGACTCCTAACAGGTCACATAACCTTGCAGTGAAATATGTTTTGAGATGATTTAGCAAATGTTATGATTTCTTTCTTTTTTTCCTCTGAGTTTACAGGACTCCTGGGGAATTCAATTAGGGATATAATGGTTTGAAGCTACTTTCAGAGCCTCCTTGTAAACAGGGCTTTAAATGTTTAAAGACACTTTGCCAAAGGAATTCAATGTAGGAAGATATTTAAGTAAATAAAAGTCAACCTTATTTTCATTTGTACATTCTTTGTAAGTGACCTCAGTCCAGAAGCAGCAACCTTATTTTGCTCATTAATAGTATTCTCTGTCAAGCTGCCTTTAGCATATTAACCTGATAACTAATAACTACAAATCATAAGTAACAGGGTTTTTTTTATTCATTAAATTTGAAGCGTACAAAGTAAAGCATTGATCCTGTTCCCACTGATATTAGTGGTGCTTTTGCTGTTGGCTGTGACAGGAACGGGGTCAAATCCAATATAAAGCCTCATAATAGATGATGTAAACAGCATGCTAATTAAAAGCCAGGTTGAACCTAGAATCTTTTCTAGCAAGTTTACTTAGTATTAGATGAAGTGAGGCCAAGCAGGATTTCAGCAAGTATTTCCGTTTGTCCCACTCCCTTCTGTCTCTTTAGTCCAGAGACGATCCTCTTTAAACACAGATTTTTTTTTTTTTTGTCTAGCTGTCTTACTTTCAGGTTTTGAAATCCCAAAGTTCTTGTCTGATTTGACTGCACACCCATCACTCCCCTCACAACAGGGACCAAAGACAAAGGGTTGCCACTTGTGGAAATTGCCTAAAATGCCCTGGCTAAATCTTCTCACAGACAAGAGAAAGCACATGCTTTCCTTGCTCCTCCTGTTTTAATCTGAGATGCTTTCTGAGTAGTCACTGTTAGTGACTCAGCTGATGGTTGTGCTGCCCCTGAAAGGCATTAAGTTCAATCATGTTGTGTTAATTTTGGCTCTGTAGAGTTCTTGATACAAAAATGACTGAGGAAGAAGACTTACCAGCACATTTTCCTGAACATGACTTATTTTCTGGACATTTTCTGCAGTATTTCTCATAGTACCTATCTAACTTGATCCCACTGAACTCCTAACAAGAGATGATACAGCTTTAGGGCATTTCCTTACTTCCCAGCATGCAGAAAGAGACATGTGTAACAAAAGTTAGAAGAATGAAATGCAGGAAGTCTAGGCCTAGATATCTTGGAAAGCAGTGAAGCTGTTTGCTGGTGTTAGTGGTTTAATTCCAGATGATGCTAGGAAAAGTCATGATTGTCTGGTTATAACCAGTGTCTTTAAATAAGTTAGAATTTATATCTTTATATATATATATATATATATTTTTAATATATATATTTAATTCTACTGCATGTGTGGCAAAGGTAGCTGGGCAGGTCAGTAGCTTCTGTCAGAGACATATTATGATAAAAAAATGCTGTAACTACACTTGGTTTTGATTAATTCCTATTTTTGGCACTCTCGGAACAGTAGTTAAGGAATTAATGAAACTGGAGATTAAGCTATACTCTTTCATAGAGAGGGTTCTTCAAAGTCATTTCTGAGGAATATTTATGAACTTGACTGATACTACCTGTAATCTTTTATTTTTGTGAGAAATGAAACTTTCACCTGCCGAACTCTCAGGTTAGATCTGCTCATACCTCTGAGGGAAGACAGGATTAACCCATCAGATGCTTACCAATTTCTTTTAGGTTACAGGTTTAGCTTCTGTTGTATTTTATTGCATTTTGACATTGGCAAGACTGAGTTTTGACCCTGCCAGTTTTATTGACATGCAGAAAATACAGCGAGAGGCATTTCAATAATAGCAGTGGTGGGGACTAAGTATGTTTGAAACTGACTGTGTCATTTAGGGAATGTCGAATATTGTGTGCACAGTCACTAAATCTGCTTTGCCTACAAAACAGGCTAGATATAAGCTGGCTCCAAAGTGGGAGCAGTGCATCAGTGTTAGTGTGACAGGACAGCCAGGATGAGAAGTCCTGCCTTGGTGTACAAGCAGGGATATGATTACATGTCCATGTCCATGTAGAAATATCTTCCTGGGCTAAATTTGGAACCAATTTCATGGCTGTTTAGTTCAATGCCAAGGTAGCACTTAGCAAAAATAAAACTGTTGCAGATTTGCACATCAGTGTTAGGCTTTGGAGGAATAAAATGGTATTCTTTAGCAAACTAGAGTAGTTTGTACACTCAACTGAAGGTCCTGTAGAAGAGAGGAGCATTTATTAGGTTCTGAGGCCCTTCCAGTACATGTCTTGCTGCTCATGAACTTCTGAGATCACCAAATCATTGGGAGCAAGAAACTTAAGGACTTGCTGATATACAGCTATGATAAAGCCTGACAGGAGAAACTTTCCTTCTGCCTGGCAGAATCTATAACACTGAGGTGGCTGTAGCCCTCCCCCCACAGTATTTTGGAGCTCTAGGAGGTGAAACAGGACAAAGTTAGCAAGTGCTGATGACAAGTAATAATTGCATTAGAAAAAAAATCCCCAAAGTCCCATGCTTCCTTATGTATCTCAAAGTCATGTAATATAATTTTCCGGCATGGTAAGTACTAATTGAGAAATCAGAGCTGCATAGACCACCTAATTAATTTTTTATACATATTTCAGTATTTATACTGTATACCGGATTAATTAAAACTTTAGGGCGCTGTGCATCTCAAATGACTGTTGTGACTATTGACCTGCAGGCATTTGACGAGCCTCGTAGAGTACCTGGTTGTGGGGGTTGCCATTTATTCCAGGGGGAAGCTGAGAGTGGCAGCTGTTAGGAAGCCAATACTTGCCCAGAGATGCTACACAGTTAATAGAATTATTTTGCATTCCGAGGAGAGCAAAGCAACTGAGCTGGCTTTCTGACTGTGACCACTACACTTACTGCTTGGAACTGGTGGGCAGCATGGGTACCATTACACCTCCTCTCCCACTGCAATTTTCCCTTCATTTCCCTAAAAACATGCATCCAGAAAAACTTGGTGGGCTGGAGTATCCTTGAACATGATTATTTTGTCCCCATTAGGTCAAGAGGGCAAGGCAGTGAGTAGGAGGAGGAAGATAAGGATAAAGGAAGGACAGTTCCCTCCTCCATCTTTCAGTAACTTAAAGCATTACTTCAGTCAAGTTTTGTGGCTGAGAGAGTACAGGGAAGCAGGATGATGATGGAGTAAAGATATAAAGCAATGTTAGGTAGGAGCCAGACCATAAGCTGAACAGATGTCAAACAGAGAGTGGGAGGGCTGATGTCCATGCCAATTGCATAATGGCATTCCATGAGACATCAAAATGTATGATCACTTTTGCTTAAAAATGTCCTGCAAATATTTGGTGTTGTACCATTTCTTTGCCATATCTGGAAAGTATCTCTCAAAAAGATTATTGAAAATAAGGATATTGAGTAGAGTAAAACTTAATTTAGACAGGTTTGTTGAGTGATATTCTGCAGTGTATTTTCAAAGCTTTTTTTTTCATGTTTCGTACAAGACTGGTATAAAGCCCATTACTGGAGTGGCTAAGAAATAGCTCCTATCTACCTACCTAGAGCATTTAGCTTTATGCACAAATATAACTTACAAGAGATTTGGCTATGCTGCAATGCAATGTGAAAATGGAAACTGATTTCCCAGGCTGGTGGCAGAAACAGAGTCAACATTTTGGCCTGATTTCTGCTTCTAGTTGCACTGGCAAATCAGAGAAAGTAATATTATTAGGGAAAGGATGACAAACAAAACTGTCAGGCTTATTGTCATCAGGCTGGACTTCAGAACATTCTAATAGTGTGAAATATTTGTCATCAAACTGATTAAACTCCTTGATTACTGTAGCTAATCCACATAACTCACACAATCGTAGATGTGCTGGATTTCTCTGATATCCAACACTGCAATTTCCATTTGGAATAGGTCTTTCCTATAAATTTTTCCTAAAGTTTCCTATAAGTTTTTCCCAAAGCTTTAAGGTGGTTTGGATTTTCCATATCTAGTATCTGGCAGGTGCAAACAGGAGGCATACACCAAATCCACTGGGTACTGGGTTTCCTGTGTGTGTTTTCATGGCTTCATGAATCCTTTTTCTAATGGAAATTCCCCAGGACTGAGTTAAAGGCTGTCACGTGTTCCCTGTTGGGTTTTACTTGGTTGGAACAAGGACTTTGAAACCTCGGGATTTGTTGTAGCAATCATATGCGCCTCAGTCCTAAATAATGATGTAAAAGCTGGAAATGATGGCAGGCAGCTGGATATTGTCAGGTAGGACTTTGCAGTGAAACGTGCAAATTTCATAATTTTGCAAACACTACCTGCAGACAGCAGATTGTGGGGGAAGCTGGTTTTGCTGCAACATGAGAATGGCAATAAAGCAGAGCTGCAGCAAACCTGTGCAGGACAAAGGCACAACTGAAGCAGTGCCATGGGACAGGGGGATGCTCCACAGTATTTCCCTTAGTCAGTTAACTCTGTTTCCGTCTTCCTCAAGCCTGATGGCTCTGGACAAGCAAAATTCATGCCCCGTGTGGGAATACTGTGGGAGTGTCCATCTCTCTCCCTCCACTATCCTGACAACACTTGAGGTATGCTTTGCCCCATCTGTCCATTATGTCTGGAAGGATGGAGCCCTGGAACTGCTGACTTCTTGCAGCTCTTCCAACTCCATTTCCTCTCATTCCGTGAGTGTGAAGAGACAGATTTTACAATCGCAACATGGTGGGAGCATCATCAAGCCAAAATCTTTGTAACTCAGATGAGGACAGGCAGCTTATGTCTTACAATTGTGTTTTAGGAAATACTGATAATAAGGCAGCACCTTCCCCCTACTCTGGGTCTCACAAAAGCCAGACATCCTTCTTTCCTCGCAGCTCACAAAGCCTTGATCTGGAAGGTAAGTCTATACATCCTATAAATAAAGTCTGCTAAGCTTCGTCTCTTCATCCAAGACAAAAAGAAACATTTACATTATTTCTGTGTAGAATAACGCAGCACAATTGCTCACTGCTTTTATTCATTTGGAAATGTTGCTCAACCTGACAAACGAAACAGAAGTCTGGCATAATTTTCCATGGCTTGTAAACACCAATTTATATATAAACAACAGCAGCCAAATGTAAATAGACAATCAGCACAGCAAGGAGATTGAAAAGATCAGTTTGCAAAACATGACAGATTTTCTTCTTCCAGCATTCTTCTTACTCCTGGTTATCAAAGGCCAGAACACACCAGCACTTGAGTCAGACCTGTTTGAACATGTCCTCCTGCCTTTTGTACAAATTTAAAGGAATGGGTCCTCACGCAAGCATTTCAAACTGAGAAACAAATTGGGAAAAAATTGCTACAATACATTGCCTTATTTCACACCAAGGCAGCTATGGAGGAGCTTCTTGATCCATTCTTGCACTGAGAAAATGAGAGGGGGAAATATGTACGTCTGTAATTAAAACTTACAGAGCACTTCTTGCATGCTCAGTTTGCTCAAGGGAGAAAGAAGTACCTTTGCTCTGCTTTTAACTCCTCAGTGTCAACAAAGTAGTCCAGAGCTGAAGGAGTAATAATTTTCTTTCTCAACCCAAAGATGCTGCTGACATACAAGGACTTAGCCATAATTTAAGACATTGAAGTGAGGGTGAAACGGGGCAGTATTGGGTTTTAATAACAGATAAACGGCATAATCCTATGAATAGTCTCCTTCCTGCAACAAAAGACAGCACTGTAGCCAGCAGGTGAGCAAGAGAACACTACAGGGTGTGGTGAAGATACTATTAAATTAACTGTGAAGCCAAAAACTCTGTGTGTGTGCGCATGTGGGTATAAAATATCTGGCTATTTCAAACCATAGGAGCATGACAGCTGTGAAAAAGGAGTGCCGCAGGGAATTCTTTTAGAGTTTGGTTTTTTTTTAAAATATGTTTGACATGGAAAATGTTTTAGTACAAATAAAGCAACTGGTATTGAACTTAAAAAGTGCATGCAGAGGGGGAGGGAGAAAGAAGAGATTGCTGTGTGGAACAGGGATGAATAATTCATGATATTTAAAGAAAGAATGCCTCCGAAATGTTCTGCAAGGCAGTCCATGCTGATAAGTCGGATGGTTATTTTCCCCCCCATTTAAAGCATCATTAATTCAACATTTTTGTGATTTTTTTAAAAAAAGACCTTGTAAAATATTTCTGAAAGAAACATTATTTAACTTAGATTAGGATCTTATTTATTCAGATAATTTCATATAAATATCAAAGATACGAGTGGAATTATTTAACCGTAAAGAGATAGTTTAAGTACTTCGAGAAAATAATTTAGAAGTCTTTTTTGTTGATTTTGTTTTTGAAAGAAAAAAAACCCCAACATCATTGCACGCTAAAATCAGCCTCATGGAATGGGGAAAATAAGAGGAGATATTTTGAACATTACTCTATAGGACACCAGTACAATATAGTGTGAGTGAATGCATTGTAGCAGAGCTCCATATGCAATCAGAATCCAATTGTTACTGGACTGTGTACAAGCACATACTGTGCTCAATGGCCTGATGAGGTATTATGGATATGATGCAAAGAGACCGTGTGGATTAGACATGTACAATTTATTAAAAAAGTGGAACTGCCAAACATTGTAACCGAATTGGATAAAATCAAACTTCATGTGGTAAAAAGAGAGTCCTGAGGAGTCTGGTGGCTGCAAAGATTTTAGCTATTGTTATTTATTTGAGGGGGTTGACAAAAAAAAAATCTAGTTCTTGGAATGTCCTGACTATATTATACTGGATTTCTGTATTTTCTCCTATTGCTACATTCTACTTTCAGCATGGAAGATTTTGTGTAAAATAGACTGATTATTGTAAAAATATCTAAAAAATGCACAGCCTATTAAAATGTAGCTTTCAGATAGTATATAACACTGATTTTAAATAAGTAGTTGCATCCAAAGTGATATTCCATTAAATCACAGGTTCCTATCCATCACTGTATTCATTTTTGTATTACAGATTACACTGCTAGGCTATTTCAGACTTCTTTCTCTCCCTGCATTGATTAAGAGTCCAAATGGCACTGTGTGCTGCTCATCTATGGGAACACCAATAGATATGCTATAAGACATTTTAAGACATATAAGAAATTTTAGTACCTGAATCCTCATGTAACTGAGCACCTGTCTATTCTATTGACTTCAGTAGGCCCTAAGATCTAATAGAAAATTAAAATTGTATTTCAAGCTATATTAAAGGGTGATTTAATTTTGTTCTTCCCTATGACTATTTTTCGAACACATACACGTATATGTTCCTTTTCCCCTTAAGGGAGTTGTCCCAAGACAGAGAATCCCAAAGCAAAACAAAAAACCTCAACCTGTATTGAGCCAAATGGGTATGTGTCCCAGGAGCCACTTGACACTGAAAAGAAATCACTCTGCATCAAACAGGACTGGTATTTCTTGAGTTATAACAAATTTTTTATTTTTTAAAAAAACATGTGGTGAAAATTTTTTTTTTTTGCTATGGGAGCCACTGGGGTTTCCTGGGGTATCTTGTCTGTGGTTGTAAAACCCATTTTGTGCCCAGGCTTCCACGCTTGATTTGAACATAAGCTTTTGAAATTGAAAATCACGAGTATCATATTTATGTTTTGCCAGTTTGCCTACCAGCTATCTGCTAACAAAAAAAGTTCCATGGGAGCATGGCAAGTCCGTGCCCAGCGAAGCCTTTTGTTTTTGCAGATGTTTAGGCTTAGAGGAGTGCTGTGGAGCACAGGCAATCCTAGGGCCCTGTTTGCACTTGTCTGCTGCTATTCTCTGCTCATTGTCTGAACCTGCACGCATTGTTCTCCCGACAGGTGATAACTACCCTGTGCAGTTCATTCCATCAACAATGGCAGCTGCTGCTGCTTCTGGACTCAGCCCTTTACAGCTCCAGGTATGTGCCAGAACAAAAAAATGTGGGATGGGAGCCAACATTTTAGGGGAAAACTGCTAACCAGCTGTATGCTAAATAATAGCCTGAATGTTAAATAATTTTTGAGCACAGCCCAGGAGGATTAACACCTTATGTACTTACAGTACAGCAACGTGCAGCCAACCTTGATGCTGCGAGTGAAAGACATTGTTCTGTGTGTTTTATATTGGCAGTTAATGGTATTTTTTTAATTTAAATGAACATTTGATGGGAGATAAGTTCAAAGATATTTTTGTACTTTATTTTCTTGTGGTCGTTCTTCTCTAGCTGCAATGCACTACCTATAATTGGAGCAGTCAGTGTATCCAAACAAAAGTGCATTATTGGGTTTTTCATTTTGCCTTTTTTTTTTTAACGGTGTGGTGCTGACAATACAATAAATTGCAAACTCTTTTAGCTTCTGTATTTAGGTAGTCTCAACCTTTCTGTGCATTAAGCTGGTCAGATGCCAAGCATGGTTAGAGACTTAGTTTGGCCATTTATTTATTTTTGGCACATATAGAATGAAATGTTGTGAAAGAAAGATTTATGTGCCATATTATTAGCTAGCTTTTTGTGGCAAGAAGTTTTTAATTTCAGAAGAAAAGACACAACAATGTCATAAATAATGAAGAAACAGTCAAAAGCTTTCAGAGTTAAAATGTGTGGAAAGAAAGTGACAGTGAACATGAGAGGAAAGGCCATTAAAGATGCATGTAACTATTTACAAGTAAACCTTTGAAACCCCTATTTGAGTTAGGTTACAGTCAGGTTCAGAAGCAAAGTAGGAATAAATTGTGCCTAGAGTAGCAAAGTACTGCCATGCTAATACCTAAATATCTATTTTGCTTGCCTTCCTGTGATTATCTAATTTTTTTCCAGAGGGGTGAAAGTAAATTAAAAATCCTTTCCTCTTTACCCTATGATGATATTCTTGCCAAATTAACTTAGTATAAGTGAAAACATGACCAGAACTTGTTCATTGACCTCTGTTCATTGATAGTCCAGAGCTAACAACAGACTTCTTAAGCTTAGGTCTGACCTAACCTCAAACCAACATTTGGAAAGAGAACACCTTTACTCTGCAGGTGAAGTTCTCTGAAAGTAGTTTTGGGTCATAATAATGTGATGTTAAGACTATACCTTGGACAGGATTGAAACCAAAGGGAAGTTTCTCAAAAAGAAAACTAGCAAGTATCTTTTGAAAGTGAGTATTTGACTAATTGAAGCAAAAGTCTCATTAGCTTTAGTTGGGAAAATACTGCAGAAATCAGCTTTGTGAATAGAGAGACTATTTTTGCTGCCTTTGAAATGCACTAAAACAAATAGTGAGCCTACACAAGACTGCAAGGCAGGAAAGGATGAAAACTGTTCAGCTGTCAAAGAAATGGGATCTAAACCACAGACATTCCTGCTTCTTTTCTTTTACATGATCCATGTGTAACTTGACCCACATATTTGTACATCAGACTTGATCTGAAACTACAGCAATAATGCACTTTCATTAATTTGCAGAAATGATAGACTGAGTTGCAAAACATGACGAGAACAATTAGAGAGAAAACAACCAGCAAAAATGCATGCTAGTCAATTCAGGAATATTCAGGCTTGGGGTTTGAATTTCCATTTAGACATATTTGCTGTAAAAGACTTCTTTTGTTTGTGTGTTTCCCCCTCTTTCTATTTTGTTTGAATTTCATCTCTATGGGATTTCAAAACCTTTAATGTTTCATGGTTATAAGAGCTTAAATAACAGAACACTTAACCTTTGGCTGATACCTGCTCATCAGATTGTTAAAGTGCCTCAACTAAATTTTATTTACACCTACCATTAATTTTCTCTTTGTGTCAATTCTCTGTGTTCCCTAAATGAGCACTTATTTGGGTGTGTTTGTTGGAGAGAATTTGTTGTTATACCTGATGCGTCATGAAGACTGTTAGGGGTGTAGCATTTCAGTTCATTTTTCCATCTTTGCTTCCCTTCCCCCTTCTTTCTCTATTCTGCTTCCTTTCTTCCATGCACCCCACCCACTTATTTATTTACGTGAATGCTGTGACCATGGTATCTGAATATTTCCCAAGTGCTTAAATATACTGATCACAAGAGTAATCTCTGTTCCTTTCAGCCAGTGGGAGAAATAGCTAATTTATTTGCAGGTTTGGTTTTGTTTCTACATGTGAATGTGTGTGTAATATCCATGTTTGGAGAATCTGGGGAGGGAAAATTATGTCAAGTAAAAGAGTTTTGCAGTAGCTCTAACATTTCAACTTTACCAGGGCATTATTATTAATTCCAAAATTATTTTCTATAATCTGTATCCAGATAAGGAAATTCTGCCAGCTTCGATCTTTTAATCTCCCCTCTTTTTTTTCTACTTATGTTTTCTTTTATTTGGAGGATCATGTTGTAGGTAGGAGGTAGCAGCAGATTTTTGTTCTTTTGTGTGTTAGAGCAACTTCTATGCAAGCTCTGAATCTAATAGAACAGAGAACTAGGTACCAGGTACATCATGTAACAATAGCAATTATTTCACAGAAGATGTTTCTTCAGTGGGCAATTGCTAATTAATTTGTCTGTCTTATTCAAGCTATTGTTATAAAAATGTACTTTCTCTGAATTCTATATTTATGTTTACCAGTGGATCATGTATCTCTATGAGTACAAAAATCTTTACTGAAATAATATACAGGAATTTCTCAAGTAACTAGTTTGACTTTCATTGGCAGTACATTAAAAAAAAAAAAAAAAAGAAAGAAAAAAAGTTCTCCAGCAACAGACCAGTTTGACCCCTCTTCTCTTTAGATTTTTGATCACATTGATCATCACATTGATCAATTCATTATTGGTAAATACCATTAATATTCACTTGTAGCTTTCAGTATCCTGAAGTGAAATAGTGGCTACCACACTTTTATGCCTGAATTGGTGGCTTGCTCTGCTTTGGATTGATACCAGATAGTTTCTTTTGATCTGTATATTGATCTCATGAAGGCATCATTTACGATGTTGATGACAAAAAGACTTAAAACTCTGTGTTCCATACTTCCCATTGACATCTCGGCTGCATCTCACCAGTTTCCTCAACAAATCAGCCAAAAATTTAAATAATATGCATAACAGGACCAAGCCTTGTAGGGACTCTTGGCACGAGAGGGGATCTAGATGATGAGGGAACAGTTCTCCTAGGTATAGTCTGATCAGAAAAAACAAGCTATTTCTGTTCACCCCTCTAGCCTCAGTGAATAGTTTGCAGATTAATTACCAAGCACACCTGTGGCACATGAAACAGTTCTGATACCTGTGTGTAACAAAAGCTTCTTGCTTTAATTAATCAGTATGAGATGTAAAACCGATCGATAATCTTCCTTTTGCTCCTCTTCACATACACCTTCTCTAGAGTTTTGCCCCTTTCCTATTTCCCTGAACTTTTTCCCAAGCTGTTAAATGTCCGCACTGGTATGAACTAGAGATGTGTGGCCAGCAATCTTGCTAAATGAGTGGACTTGATCACTTAATGGGTGTTTCCAGCTCTCATGCTGCTGGTAGCAGGAATCTAGTTACCGGGAGTGGCGGATGTGGCACCTGTATGTCCTTACTTTCAAACAAGGAATGTTACTATATGCCATTTAGTGTTTATAAATCCCCATGCCTTCATTCTTACATATTTCTACAAAGCTGTCTAGGACATAAATAAGGAAGTGTCGCAACTCTCTGAACCACGACTGATAAACTGTTGATAGAAATGGAAGCATTACAATGATGCTAGCTGGAGTTATTCCTAAACAAAGTGAACTCTAGGAAAAAAAAAGCAAAACAAAAAAGCTTTAGTTCATAACTCTTTCCCCAAACTATTTGTGTAATTTGTCCTTCAGAATTTATCGCTTATAACACTAATGAACCTTGGAGAATCTTAACTATAGTTGCAGCTGTGTTCTTGGAACCTGAAGTTTTTATAATGCAGTTAAAAAAAAATTAACTAAACATATATTTGCCTATTTCTTTTCTGCCTTCCCATTTTATCCCACTCCTCCATACTGTCTTCTAGTTGCAGACAAAGTAAATGACCTTTTTTACACTGCTGGGTGCAAATTCAGTGTATTGCTGAAGCATTGCATAGCCTGCCTCAGGGGCACAATATTAGTAGAGGGAAGGCCAAAGAATGCTATTTTTAGTTGAACAGTTCAGCAGATGGAGGCATGAATACTCATATATCTGAAGGTTGAGGGGTTTGAACCATTAATTTTGATAATGTATTTAACCCTGGGAACAATCAGAAACTGTAACTCCAAGGTTACAATGCTTTTGACCTTTAGAGAACAGAGGGCACTTGCTACAGTAAACAATATATTACATTTCTACTTATTCCAATTCTCTCACACGTATAAATTTCAGGGCATAGTTGACATTTGCTTTCCTCAGCTATTTTAGTGCTGGTCCTCAAAGTAAGTCAAGAAGAATGCAGGAAAGAGGCCAATGTAATGCGACAGTCATGTAAATATGGCCTTTAAATAGCTAAGTTGTTAAACGTGTCCCTTTATGAAGAAATATTATTCTCAGGAACCAGAATCTGGGTGACTTATTATTTCAATGAAGAAGTTGTTTTAGTGGACGGCTGCTCTTATGGAGTCTCCTCTGTTTGTTGTAACCTTAACACAATTTTTCAGCGGGGCTAATGTGATCTGATAGTGAGAGCTCACGCTGGAGGTGATTTGGTCCCACTCTAGTACCACATCATGCAAAGTGATGTACCTGCCTTATGTCTTACTAAATGATGCATGCTCCTCTTCAACAAATATAGCAGTTAAATATCACGCAGCTTAAGTATTTCTAATTAAAATATCTCCATGTGTCAGCATATTGGTAATGTATTATTTTAATCCATTTATTTTGTTTATGAAACAGTGACATATGTTTAGATTGTGAAATATATGAGCCTTAAAAATCACTTTATTGAAGAAAATTAATTTCTACAATGCTGTCT